TCAGAGAGGAAGAGAGAGGGAGGAGAGGTAGAAACATCAGTAATGGGAGAGAATAATTGATTGGCTGCCTCCTACATGTCCCACACTGGGGATCGAGCCTGCAACCCGGGCATGTGCCCTGACTGGGAATTGAACTGTGACCTCCAGGTTCATAGTTCGATGCTCAACCAGTGACCCACGTCGGCCGGGCCACTTACATTTCTTTTGTACCATCAGTACAAATGTCAGCACAGTGACAAAAATAACTACTTTCTTAATATTTGTATGAAAACACTTGTAACTCCACAAACCCCTGGGAGGGTCTCAGGGACCCCTAGTGGTGTGCGGGCTATACTTTGAGAACCAATTTGTGACACTGTCTCCTAGATTTGGTAGCTAATGATGAATCTGGGTGATCTCTCTCTCTCTCTCTCTCTCTCTCTCTCTCTCTCTCTCTCTCTCTCTCTCCCCCTCCTTCTCTCTCTCTCATGATTTTTTAGCCTGTGGGGAACCTTTTCCTGCCAAGGGCCATTTGGATATTTATAGCATCATTTGCAAGCTATACAAAGTTATCAACTTAAAAATTAGTCTGCTATATTTGGTCAAACATTTAATTAACTCACCCCTAATGCCTTGGCAGGGCCAGACCAAATGATTTCACGGGCCTTATGTGGCCCACAGGCTGGAGACTAGCAAAGGGAATTCATGCTTTGTCCCTTTATCTTGTGTCTCTAGCTGAGAATAATGAGGTTTAAGATTTGGCCGGGTAGAGAGAAAACAGCAATTCAGAAACGAAGCTTTGACCTGTCGACAATAAAACAGTAGCTACTGGCACCTGCACTTAGATCTCGTCCTTGAAGAAGGTTTTTTTCTGGAGCTATTTTTCTTGTCCACGTCTCTTCTGGCTCCTGAGCAGCTGATTGGAAATTTGCCTAATTCACTTTTACAGCATGTGGTAATTACAGTGAATCTGTGAGGTGCTTAGTACGTGATGCGTGCTATCAGAGTCAGAAATAATTCTGCTTTCCAAAACCTATCATTACCCAATTTGAAACTGTTTGCCTATTGGTAATATATAAAACAAAATGTGTATAGCATGCACAGAAGTGAACATGGAAATTGACTACAGGAACTCAACATTTATGCTATTTCATTGCATGATTATATACATAAATCTGCAGAATGGGGCATCCTTTTTTTTAATGTCTTTAGCTTCAAGATACTGCTTGAAAGTTGCCCTTTTTTCATGTTTGCCTATTTTCTTTCCATCTTCTTTCGTTTCCACAGAAGTTCACTCTCACCTGTGTTTTCTTCTGTTCAGAATATCCCCAGTGTGGAAGGAACAGGGATTGAGAGGACAGGGGAAAAGTGAAGGCTGTTTATAGCCTTTTTTTTTTTTTTTGCTGAAATGAGTTTACTAACCTGATATCATTTGACTAATGGGGTAAGATAATCAACCATGATATACATTTATTTTATTTCCTAAATCACCTAGGGGTGCCTGGGCCAGATCAATGGTCCAGGGAAGATCTAGCAGCTTAGAAAGAGGTTGTCCGCATGAAATGAAATCTCTGAGGCAGGACATGGTACCCTCTAGCTCAGTGATGGCGAACCTTTTGAGCTCGGCGTGTCAGCATTTTGAAAAACCCCAACTTAACTCTGGTGCCGTGTCACATATAGAAATTTTTTTATATTTGCAACCATAATAAAACAAAGATGTATATTTTTGATATTTATTTTATATATTTAAATGCCATTTAACAAAGAAAAATCAACCAAAAAAATGAGTTCGAGTGTCACCTCTGACACGCGTGTCATAGGTTCGCCATCACCGCTCTAGCTGGCTTTTTAGGAACTGAGCAGCTGGCTCCTGCCTTTCAACTTGAAAGTTGTTTTTAAGGCACTTTTGCTCAAAGTCATCAAGTGGGAGTGGAGGTATTGATAAGCACATTGGATTGAAGTAAGGGAAGCTAATTAATAGTCTGTCCTTACATCAGACTATATGCATATTAGCATTTTGAGTCAAGAGAATTGAAGCTCTGGCTGTGCTTGGCTATTTCCTATCTTCTTTCCTTTCTTCCTCTCTCTCTTCCTTCCTTTTTTTAAAATTCATTATCTCTGAGTCATTTGCCTCCTATCCAGTTTGTGGCTGAACGTTTTTTCCATTATTTTTTTCTTCAAACTATAAGGGAAAGCTTATTTAAAGTCACAGAGGTAGAAGTGAGCCATCGAAGAAATGGGCTCAGGAGACAAGCTACACGGGTGAAAGAAGGGCCCTTGGAGCTTAGGAGAAAGAGGAAGGCAAGGAAACCACTGCTGGGGGATGGGGGGTGGGAGTGGGGGGGCTGCTCCTTTTAGAGAGAGGCACTGGGTTCTTGTCTTGAGGGTATTTATCTGGAGGGTGCAGGGCAGGATCCCAATAGAATATTCATCAACTTTCCAGGTGTGCCCTTTCAGGGTCATGGTCTCCACTGATTGGTTGGTCATTAATCAATGCAGCTGGTCCTGTTGTCAGCCCTGGCCTCGCTTGTCTGTTTCGCTGCTTTTCTGGGCCTGGAGCTGAAGCACAACTGAGGCCTAGATGTATGTGATGTGGATCAGAACCTCACTGTCCTGGAGGGTCCGAGCTGCATGACCAGCAATATGGAAGATCAGGGGGTCTGGGGACATGGTCCTTGTTTTCCCAGCTTTGTCCGACGCTAGGCTTTCTGCCTGGATGGCCTTCTGTACCTCTCCCCTCGCCCTTGCTCTGCTCACGTCTGTCTAACTGTGCAGCTGAAGTTTCGAGTGAGATGGCTATGACAATGGTTGAGGCCATGACAGGTCCTCAGAGTGTGCTGGACCAGCTCTACTGTTTTAGAGGCTGTGTCTGGAAAATCAACCAGAAGGACCTATGTATGTGGCTGTTTTTCTCAGCTCCTACACTCGAGTATTCCCATGGCCACTGAGGATATGGAGAGCCGAGACTGCCCTGGAAAACCTGGGCCGTTGGTGACATTTCCTGTACGAAAACGACCCCCGTGCCCAGCTCTGGGGCTCCCTGCTGTGACCCACCCCTGAGGGCCCGTTCAGATGGTGCGGTCAGAGCCCGTAGGTCAGACCATCGGAGAGGCCTGAGAGAAGCCAAGGGGTCTGTAGCTAGTCATCCGGTTCTCATAGCGACTTTTAGCCTTTCTTTAGTCTCCCACCAGTTGTAAAAAGAAAAAAATTCTGTTACTATTTCCAAGCTTCTAATTATCAGTGCTTAAAAAATCCACTCTCTCCTGAGGCCTAGTTGTGTAGGGACCAATTAAAATAAATCAGATGAAAATAAGTATCTAGTAGCAGATGCCGTGAGGTTGTGTGTGCAGTGGTTTTGGAATGAAACTTCGGCCCTGACCAGCATCTGGCCCTGTTAGTTTGGGTGAGCTCCCATAGCAGAGCCACTCTGTGGGGCCCAGTGGTGGTGTGTTTCCTTGCCAGGGTTGCCACGCTAGGTCTCTTGAAAATTAAATGTTATTTGCTTGCGTGGGGCTATGTTAAATGCATACATTTGTGATAATCTGAGGCCAGCGTCTTTTTCCCCCACCTTGCTGTTTGTCTCCTGGAACCACCTACAGACATGAGTTTACATCCTGGAGATGGCAGGACATAAAAGGAAGAATGGCCCAGCCAGCATGGCTCAGTGATTGAGCATCAACCTATGAACCAGGAGGTCACAGTCAGGGCACATGCCCGGGTTGTGGGCTCAATCCCCAGAAGGGGCGTGCAGGAGGCAGCTGATCAATGATTCTCTCTCACCATTGCTGTTTCTATCTCTCTGTCCCTCTCCCTTCCTCTCAAATCAATTAAAAAGAAAACTTTCTTTAAGGAAGAATGAACTGTGAGGATAAAACAAAAACTAAGAAAATACCCTCCAAAAAAACAAAAATAAAAAGCAGGCATCCTGAGTACCAGTTTTTTTTTCTTCCTTTAAGACAGATACCTAAAGGGGTTGCTCATCCTTAAGGACACACGGCAGGATTGACCAATGCTCACCAGCTCCCGTGGTAGCTCTCGTGCCCACGCCTGCTGGGCCTCGTGGGCTGGGTGTGCATGGAAGAGGCAGCCATTTTGGAATGTCCTTGGCAGATGTACCTTGTTTCACGTGTGAGACAGTAGCAGATATTATTTGTTGGAGTTTCCAATCTAGTGAAGGCTTAATGGGGTATCCCATGTTTTCTGATGATGGACGCCCTGGGGAACCCTGTAAGGTGGGGTAACAACTGTTTATCTCCAGGACCTAAGAGTTCTGTTCGACTAGCCTACTTCATCGCTTGGAATGATTATGGCAAATGAATAAAAATTTGTAAAAGAAAGCGAGTGAACTGCATTCAAACCCACCACTCAAATGCAAGGTGGTCCTATTTTCAAAAGAATTTTTGAAAAACATGGTATTTGTCACATCTCAACTCTGATGATGGTATGCGGTGTCTGCAACTTCTTGAAAGGTTTTAACATTCGTGGAAAAAGTTAAGCAAATCATCCCTATCGAATTTCCAGAAGCCCATAAACACTGGTCTCTCATTGGCTGGCTGAGCGTTTTCTGCAGCTTCGTGTGCCAAGAAAAGAGTTGAATGTGGATTTGGACTCGCGCCTGGATTTCAGTGGTTATGTCGTCATGTCCCCCGTCTGCCTCCCTCCCCGTGCAGTCTTGGCTCCTGTAGCAAGCAGGCTGGGGATCAGTTATGGTGGAAAAAGTACATTTAGCAAGTGCCTTTTTTTAGCGAGTTTCTTAGGGGTTATCTTAAGTCTCTTAAGCAGTAAAATTCAAAGAAGGCCCACATACACCTTTGGCCTCCTATTCTTGCACATTGAAATGTTGCGGTTTTCTTAGTTGGTCTATCTGAAAGCTCCTACCTGGTGTGATAGAGTCTAGGCTTCCTTAGTACCGATTTCCTTTCAGGCAATGAATGTTGGTGGTGGAAAAACAAAAGTTTTCACCGTGGCCTTCCGTGGCAGAGCATGTGACGAATCTCCCCCATAATTTTTTCCCCCAACAGATGGGTCAGAGAGTTTTTGAATGAAGAAAACAAAGGCCTCGATGTCCTGGTGGAGTATCTGTCGTTTGCACAGTATGCGGTAACGTAAGTAAAACTTGGCTTGTTTCTTTTGCATTTTATGTGGTCGCAGAAGATGCAGCTCAGTGGTACAGTTACACCCTGCGCCGCCCGGGAAACCAGAAGCAGATGTGCTATGGTCTAGGGAGGCTTGTTTCTGTTCAAACAGCTAAAAGCAAATCCCATAATTGTTATTAGAAATGCTTTTAAGGCAGAAGTAAAACAGCGGAGTAAAAATTACCCTTGAAGAGTCCTTATTTTAAACAGTACTACTTTGTTTAGTGCTCAGGTCACATATATCCACAAGGTAGAATACTCCAGCACTTACTGAGAGAGGTGTATGATATATTGTTGAGTAAAGCAGGATACAGAAGAGTGACTCCCTTTTGATTTTAAAAAATTACATCTATGTGTGTATTTGCATGTGCTAGTAAATACAGAAATAAATAGCAGACTGGAAGCGGTGAACAAGAGGCTTGCCCTTTTTACTTTTATGTATTTGTATTGACTTACCTTTCATAAAGGTGAAGGGGACAAAGTTGGAGCAAAGCAGAAAAAAAGTAACTTATTTAACCTAGTTTTTGTTAATTCATAAACTTTTCTTATTCGTTTCACTTGTGGAAAGATTTACAACAGGAATGAAAAGTACATTTGAATGAGATATTCTATTCTCCACATTTCCTCCTTTATTTATTTTTTCCCCTTTATTGATTAAGATATTACAAATGTGTCCTTATCCCCCCAATGTCCCCTCATCCCCCCAATCCTGCCCTCACCCCCACCCCCTGTTGTCCACACCCATCGCTTATGCTTATATGCATGCATACAAGTCCTTTGGTTGATCTCTCCCCCTCACCCCCACCCTCCCCTACCTTCCCTCTGAGTTTTGAGCATCTGATCGATGCTTCTCTGTCTCTACATTTCCTCCTTTAATCAAAAAATATTTCTGCATCCACAGATATGCTCTCACACATATTGTATTTTTAATTTACTGGAGGATATTATGGCTCAGGTGATATTTTCCTCCCACCCCACCCCCCAATTCTTCTTTTAAAAGCGATCACTTGTTTTTTTATATTGCCTCACTCCAATAAAATCTTAAGACCTAACCAGATGCTGTTTTATCTTATTATCCTCATCACTTCCTTGAGAATTTGTGAGGAGAAAGCTATAATTATTCCTACCTTATTGATGCAGAAACTAAAGAATTAACTGAAACTGGCTTGATGAGTTTCAGCTTTGATAACTTTTATATATGGAATAGAGTAAGAAAAAACCAAAACACAGGTGCTTATCTTCCTGAGAAAGTGTCCTCTGAAATAAAATCTTAGTTTTTATAGAATACTCTTCCAAAGGTTGTTTCTTATCTCCCACGATATCAAAACTGCTAATCTCCTTTTGCACTTCATATCATATGACAAACCAATAATAGTACTCTGTTGCATATTTTATAATCTGGAAGATTATTTATGGAATTAAGGAAGGGCTAAGAAACATCAGGAATAATGAAAAGAATGGTATGCTTTGTGCTATATGTTTTCTGTAATTAACCTTTTATCTAATCACAGTAGAGCTTTGGAACCAGCTTTTCCAAATGTACCCCTACAAAAAACCCACGGGAAAAGGCCATGCCACCATGAGGGAATTCTTCCCAACTGTGGCAGAAGATCAAACCCAACAAAAGATCAGAACTCAGAACTTTTGCTTCCCAATCTTCTTTTTTTTTTTTGCATTGGCTTCACATTTGTGCTGATTAGTTTTGGTTTTCTTTTGCATTAATTAGATGACAAATTATATAGAGACACATAATTTATGTTCTTTCTTGAAACTAATGGGCTGGAAAATTTCTTGCTATTCCTTGGCATGTGACAACTTCCTAGCCCACGAATGTGAAACAGCGGGCTCAGGCTCCATCCCTAAAGCACAAGCTTTCACCACGTGGTTCCTTTTTCTGCTGTGTGAGAGTTGGGGACCAGCCAAAAGGAACATGAGAACTGGACAGCTGAATGGCATGGGGGCTGCAGAGAGACGTGGAGAGAGTGGGGCAGACTTGAGTGACCTTGGAATGCCCCCTCGGCTTACCTTTTCCTATCTCAATTATAGACTTCTATTTTTAGTACTCAAGGATCTATTCGATTACACAGCTTCCACCTCTTTTCTGTTCAGCACTGTTTCCTGAATCCTATAGCATGACAGAATTGTCAGACGAATTCAATGCCATTATACACCAGTCTGTGACATCTGGATTAATATTAAATAGATGGAGAACATCACCTGGTTTACAGATGACTGTTCTAACCAAATATTTTATTTTGGCCATCATACTTTTTATAAAAGTCATACTTTTTCATAAAAAGTCATACTCATTATTTCCAATATGTATTGGTGCTGTCTCTTCTGTGATAGCCTTCAAGATCTTCCAGATGATATTAATTATAGTTGCCTTCTGTTTATTCTCTATTGGGTCAGATAGAACTATGGGTAGAAACAAGTGATAAAATACTTTTTGGGGGAACGCAGAGCTTCTGACTTTGGGAGGGGAAAATACATAGAACTCAAAGGTCTGTCTGTTTAGAAATGCTGCCCCTAAAATTATACAAGACCGAGAGCCTTAACTTGCCATTTATTCTAACATGGTTAACATGAGTAATAACCTCAAAAATGTCAGAGAAACAACAGTCCTACTTTAAAGAGCACCACATTGGGAAGCTATTCCAAAATCAAAGCAAATTCATACGTTTGCGAGTAATGTATCACATATGGTTGGAAAAGCACACTTGCCAACACACCAGGAGAAAATGCGCAGTGAAAATTGATGGGTAGGAATAAATTAGTATAAGCCTAACATATTGACGTGTTAAAGCAAAATGAAGACATCTGTACGATTCCACCCTCCCCCACCTCCCATCTGAGCAATGTTGGCAATTGGTAAGCTAGCAAACTTTATCGTAAAATGCAGATACATCACTATTTAAGTTTCGCTGTTGTTCAGCTACTTTGCCTGGCCCAGTATTTGTCATTCTGTATTTTTGAAGCTACCACGGAGTCCATGGATATTTTTTGTATTTCCCTTTTAGTTTTTGTTTGTTTGTTTGCAAAGACTACCCAAATTAAGGTGCAGACATACAAAAGGAAGGAGCAAGTTGTGCACATCCAGGTGTTTGTGTAAATGTGAATCTCTCAGTCTCTCCTGGCATTTCTCTTTTGTTTCAGGTTTGACTTTGAAAGCGTGGAAAGCACCGTGGAGAGCTCGGTGGACAAATCAAAGCCCTGGAGCAGGTCCATCGAGGACCTGCACAGAGGCAGCAACCTGCCCTCCCCCGTGGGCAACAGTGTGTCCCGCTCCGGAAGGCATTCTGCACTGCGGTGAGTTTCTTTAACCAGGAGGGAGGCGCAGGTGGCAGGATACACAGGGACAGCAGGGCCCCTCGGGTCTGCGATGACCCTGGGCCACGGATTGCTGTATCTTGCCACATGGCACTTCCATTTCCAGTCATTTCAAAATGCAAGTTTCTTTGTGAGTTCCTGGGGTCATCCCTGGGGCCATGCTCTGTAGCATTAGCAGCTTTCAGGAAACACCATTCCTTCAGTACAAAGAGTAAGTTCTGCTGCCATAGGGAACAACAGGAGCCTGCACAGGCACATGTTTTTCTGGAACCAGGGAGATGCTGATGTCGTGATTGAGGCTCTGTTTTCTGGGTAGAGGCAGCACATTGAGATGTGAGAATTTCCAGAACACCTTGTTGATGTTTGTACCCTGCTGCCCCCGTCCCCTCCTCCAGTGGTAGCTCAGGTGAGTGTTCTGTGAGATGTGTTCTTAGTAATAGGCATGGAATGCTGTAGTGGTCACTTTATTAATGAGATGCCTTTAAGCATGTTTCTTTGGTCACCTGTCAATCTTCTGTTTCCTTCTAAGGATTCCTTCTCTAGTCTCTCCTGGCTGAAATACCACCATGTTAAGGGAGGGTGGGTGCCGACCACCTGTATCAGTAATGGGCGTAATATCAGTGAATTGTTCATCCACTCATTGTGAATGAACAGTCATTCATGCACTGAAAAATATTTTTGAGCTGCTATAATTTGCCAAGCACTGTACTTAGAGTTACTGTCCATGGGTGTGTCAGTCAATACTGCCTGCCAAGACAGAGACATCCAGATTCAGAAAGGTTTTTTATGTTCCAAGAGTTTAATACAAATTTTTATTAGGAAGTCCCACATTCCCAAACGTTGCTTACGCTTTGTATCTTGAAGAGTTTATCTCACTTATTTCAGGCTTGACCTGACAAGTGGATTTTGTTCCTGTCAGTGTTTAAGGTCACCGTGTCCAGGTGCAGCCAACGAATGTGGGACTTTCAGGCTTTCCATATCTGGTAGCCTTTTAATTACTTCTAGTCCCTTTGACTTGGGTTTTGGTCGTGGGAAGTTAAAGTCTCTAATGAAATTCAGTTCTGCTGAAGGACTTGATGTTTGAATATGATGCTTCCAATCAACCTTTCAGATTTTTTTTTTTTTTTGGTTTGGAAATGCCAAAAATATTAATGGGTTTTAGAATAATTCAATAATAATGAAGAGCAGTGTTTTAATTCATCTCATGGTATTTGCATTAGGCCAAGAGCTCTATAACCTGCTAGTCTGCATCAACTTTACATGTAGACAGAGACGTATGTGGACCAATTTGGAAGCTGAAGAAAGGCCAGTTGTGCCTAAAGAATTCCCTCATCACTTTGGTACTTGAATGGAAATTCTTACCATTAGTATAGTTATAACTACTAGTATATGTAAGGGATCTAATGCACAAACTAGATGTTAATTTGCTTTTCCATCATTTCTTACCTAGAAAGGATCATTTATTGGCTAGCTCTACCCTAACAAGGACTCATTTCTTGATTAATAATTCATTATGCCTGTTTTTGAGTGATTAAAGACTGTTTGAGGAGCTCATGTTGTTTCAGGTAGAGTGGGAGAGTCAGGAAAATGTGGGAAACACCCCAGGTCCAAGGAGCGTTGTAATCCTGGCCCCTGGAAGGCATGGTACAGGGACATCAATTTCTGATTTACTTCATGGTTGGCTTCAGGTAGATCCTGCTAGAATTCACTTTAAAATGGAAAAATAGACCAAAAATATAGAGAGATGGACATGGTGGAAATACTTTTCTGAGGAGCTCGGGAACTATGTGGCATTTCCGGTTGGCAGGTTGTGCTTGAAGATGACCAACTAAGAAACCAACATCACCTTCTTCTGTTTGTGTTTGAACAGTTTCAGACTCAGGAACAGAACAATGGAATTTCCTCCCCAGGTTCTAGTCACTCAAGAGAATCAGTATGGCAGTAACTTTCATGAAACTTGTTGACCTGAAGCTTTGGTTTTTGTTTTTAAACAATGCGTATCAATGATATTCCAGCTCTTGAGGTTCATGGATTTGTGCCTAGATTCTAATTCTGTATTTGGTCATTTGCTAGCATCTGTGATTTATAAAAACAGCAATCAGATGTACAGGCATATGGTACATGTTGCTTTTCATATACCCAAAGATTGTTTATATTTTTTTTCTCTTCCTCCTCCTTCCTCTCTCCCCTTTCTCTCTCTGATCCCCACATTTCCTTCACCTTTTGGCTTTCTTTTAGTTGCCCTTCTTTTTCATTCCGTCATCACATTTCTGATTGTCTTCTCCTCCTCTGCTTTGTCCTTTCTGTTCCTACTGTCTCTTCTTCTTCCGGTTCCATTCATCTCTTACACCACCACCAGATTGGTTTCTCTGCCTGAGTATCTTCAGTTCAAATGCCACCAGAGCTGCTTCTCTCCCTGTTGCCTCTGGAGCAGCTTCAGTTTACACACTGATGATGAGGCTTCAAACCGGAAAATCTCGTAAGTCGCGGGTGAAAATGACACCCAAGAGAGCTGGTAGTGCATGGTGGCAGGGTATTGCAACTGCTCTCCATGTTATAATATGATAACCTCATAGCTTAGCGCCCTCACCCAGTACTGGATGTGCCCACTGCCTTTTACACTTTGATATGCTCTGTTATCATATTATGAATTCTCATTTTAAGAATTTAAACCTTTAAAGTATGTTATATTTTTATTAATATTGCAGGGGTGTTTTTTTTTAAAGAAAGAAAAAGCATATTAATTCATTTTCTGTAGAGATGATTTATTCTGGTAGCTTTGTTTGATTAGAATATGTCTTCTATATCCAAAGCAGAATTCAGTTCCCTTATCCCAATCTCCAGATTATAATATAGATTGGTAAAAAGGGTTAGTTAAACTTGGAAGAAGAAATGAAATTTTTAAGAAATTTAAAACACTATAAGTGGGGCTTGGTTAAAGAAAAAAAAAGGAAAAACTCTAATGTTGATGCACATTCTTCTTTCTGTATTCAGACTTTATTTTTTAACTATTTTAAGTGGATTATTAAATGTTTTATGACATGACCTTCACCTTCAGTTATATCAACTATTCAATTCTGTATTGCCATAAATTTGTCAGCTTGGCCAGTAGTAAAAATGTTGATATTGATGCAGTAGAAACCTGGATTGTGTTGTTTTTCTAAATTCAGAGCCCGGTGTGCCTTCAGTTAAGATAGATTTCTGTTGATGTGACCACAGATCTAGCTAAATTAAATGATTTATATATGCACGTATGTGCACACTAGATTTTTGAAGACAGTGCATTAATTCAGGTGCAGGAGGTGGAAAACTAAGAGCCTGGAGGAAGGGGTCAGATTTAATCTTGGGGTGATGGCCAGAGCTGCTTCTCAGGGTGAGGAAAGGCTATTCCAGGTGGAGGTAAAGTGAAAGAGGATGAGATGAGCAGAATTCTTACATCAAAGGTCAGGCATGTTTGGGAAAGAGGGAAGAAACTGCCCCTTCTGGGACAGAGGCTTTGTGGTGGGGGTGGAGGGCTGTCTAAGGAGAGGTTGGGTCATAGACATGCAAAGCTGGAAAGACCTGGGAGGTCACCCCGACTGACCTTTCGCACTGTGATGAGGAGACCAAGATCTGCATTTCCTTTAAGATACGAACTCCTATTAATATTTTTTCCTAAGATTCCCTAGAACAAATTTTACTGTTTTCCTGAGATTATTAACTCAGTGGAATGGCGTTTAATGAATAGTCATTGTCTGACTCTTGCTGCCTATATACATAGTGGATTCATATGAAGAGATAGAGTTCAAATTTATGTGCTGGTTTATACATTTTAATACAGTAATCTTATTCCTGGCAATGCTTTTTAGGGGAGTAATTTTTTAAAAACATATTTTTATTGATTTCAGAGAGGAAGAGAGAGTGAAAGAGAGATAGAAACATCAGTGATGAGAGAGAACCATTGACCGGCTACCTCCTGCATGCCCCCCACTAGGGATCGAGCTCACAACCTGAGCATGTGCCCTGACCAGGAATTGAACCGTGACCTCCTGGTTCACAGGTCGATGCTCAACCACTGAGCCAGGCCTGCTGAGCATAGGGGAGTAATTTTTTAAAGTATTTAAAATGGACATGAAGGTATAGATAGCTTTGTTCCAGTGTTATTGAGTGTCCACTGTGTGCCAGGCACTGTTCTAAGGGCCTTCTGTGATTTACTGTTCACAGTGCTCTGTGTGATAGCTACTGTTACTTTCCCCAGGAGGAAACCGAGTCTTCTAGTGGTTAAAGCAACTTGTGTGGGATTAAACAGTAAGTAAACGAGGCAGGACTTGGAGTAAGGTGGCCAGACTCCAACCTCCATGCTACATTATCCTGCCTGCTGATTTATAGGATGATTCCCCCTCCGTCCCCCGTAAATATATTGTTTTCATATCAGGTGTCTGATGTCCCCTGCAGGAGGGGCTTTGGCTCCTTCCGAGAATAGAAGAATCCCATCTATTTCGATAGATCCCAATTTAAAGGAGAACAAACTACAAAGAAAAACATATTTAAAATTATTCTCATAGATAAGCTATTAATCAAGATTTTCATTAAAGAAAATACTGTTGCCCTAGCCGGTTTGGCTCACTGGATAGAGTGTCGGCCTGGGGACTGAAAGGTCCCAGGTTCAATTCCGGTCAAGGGCATGTACCTTGGTTTCGGGCACATCCCCAGTAGGGGGTGTGCAGGAGGCAGCTGATCGATGCTTCTCTCTCATCAATGTTTCTAACTCTCTATCCCTCTCCCTTCCTCTCTGTAAAATATCAATAAATATATATTTTAAAAAAATACTGTTAAAGTCTTTGGAAGTAATCAAGGATTATTAGCCCCATTTATAGGTGAGGAAGAAAAAAGAAAAATGAAGAGACAGTCATTATAGGAAACATCCAAGTTTTATTTCTGAGGGAGGAGAAATGTTGAAGACACTCCTTAACCTGATGAAAATCTGAGGTTGCAGAAAA